GGAAACACTTCCCTGCCATGCAACCACCCTCTGCTTGCAGAGGCGTCCCCGGGACGGACAGCACGCGCAGTCCCGTCGCCCCCATCTAAATTCCCCTTTTCTGTGTCTGCTCAGAGGTACAGGCAGACAAAACCCACACCTGCCTGTATAATGAACGGTTCTTACAGCATTGGATTTGTAAGCACGGTAACAAGTCCAAGGATAACAAGACAACCTGGAAATCACTTTCAACAGGGACAGTAAACCTTCCAGGTGAGCAGGGAGCGCTCATTTTGCTCAATTCTTCTTCCTCAAGTTTCAACTGAAATCAGACTTCACGGCCAGGAAACCAGAGAGAGGGGCCGATTTTTTATGTGTATATTCTGGTTGACTTTAAAAACAAAGGTTCTTTTTTTTTATTTCTGCCTGTAACTGTTCCCAAATTTGTAAACGAGCACCCGGCTTTTTATTCAGAGAAATGTTTGTTAGGGTTTTTTTCGCTTTTAGTCACAGCTAGTAGTAAGGTTGCCCAGTGCCTCCCAGTATCCTTTCTCAGGGAACAGGGAATGTATTTGACTGGCAGGCAAGAGGTACCACCACAAAACGTCACATCCCAGAGGCTCTGGGGCCTCTCGATGTACAGCACTGAGCTGGAAGAACCACCTTGGAGATGGGCAACAGAGAGGCATAGTTGGGTCAGATCCCAGGCAGGACAACCCCTCTCTGAGGACAGCTAAGAAACAACCAAGGGAGTCTGAGTATGAATGTGAGGGGACCGACTGGCTGCCCCGAAAGGACCTCCCACCTCGACAGCATGGCTGTGTAGACATCGCTCGCCTGGTCTCGCTCTCTGTTTTTCCTCACGGCAGGAGAGATCTCCTTCCGCACCTTCACCAAGTCATCCACCGTGTTGAAGGACAGCTTGATGTAATTCCTCTTCAGGCCCACCAAGTGGTTTGGCTGCAAAGCAGCAAGACAAAGCCAGCTCAGAGGGGGTGAGCACTGAGGGACGGCCACCATAAGAGAGAGTGGGGAAAGTAGACCAGACTGATGCAGGCCAAAAAAGAGGTGGGAGTGTCAAACACCCAGAAGACAATCTGGTGGGCACATCAGGGAAGAGCGAGAGAGTTGCCCAGCGAGGGCCCAGGCAGCCCTGCTGCCCACGCAGGCAGGACCACGAGCGGGATTCACCCGGGGAAGAGGAGGAAGAGCAAGTCAAGCATGAGCAGCATCCCCCTCGCACACTACCCTCTTCTCCTCCAATCATTCCTTAATTCCTACAATTAAACGTCTTGAACACACTGTGAAACAGCTGGAGAGGAACGTAAATACTACCGATAAGCAATTAGCCATAACTAACCCGTTTCTGATAGGCACCACAAGCAGCACTAGGAGATTGAAGTCAAGTGTGTTTTCCCTTCACTATGTCCCTTCCTACTTCACTAGAGCTGTGTGAGGTCTAAAAAAACCCCAAACACTCCTCAAGAGTACAGAGGGAAGAGGAATACCGACCAGGTCCAAGTCTTCTTTGGGGACAGTTTCCAGCTTTGCAATCTTCCCTTGGAACTTCTTGGAGAGGAAGGAGGACACTTCTCGCTCACATCCCTGCCGAAAGACCCTGGGGCTGAGCAGTGTGGCTCTGTCCCTCGGGGGAAGACCATCCCAAAGCAGGATGCCCTGGAGGTCTCAAGCACCCCAGGGACCCACTGTCCCCTTCTCTGGGGACCTCAGCCCTCCCAGGGTCCCCTCCTCACCTTGTGGGTGGCGATGTAGAAGTAGGGCTTGTAGGGCAGGGCCACCTAGGAGAGAGCAAACGGGTGACAGCAGTGGGTCCCCTTGTGGGACCCTGCACCCTGCCTGGCCACCCTAGGCACCCACCTTGAAGCGGCTCCCGTCCTCCTGGATGAAGTAGTAGTCCACAGCGCTCACTGACCGCCGGTCCTCATCCAGCACCTCCGTCTGCCAACGGGCACCATGGACTCAGTGGGGACCCTCCGTGAGACCCCCCCGGGCCTACCAGGGTCCCTCCATGGGAACCCCTCCGGGGCCTACCGAGGGCCTCCCCGTAGGACACGCCCCACCCCGGACCCCTCCCGGTGGGACACCGTCTCCCCCGGGCCCTATCGGGGGCCTCCCCGTGGAACACCCCACC